CCTGGTCTGAGGGATGGGAAAGAGAGCACCTACGCATCAGAAAGAGCAGAGAAACCCTGCTTCTGTTTTTTTCTATTCTTCCCTGCCTTAGCCCCCAACCAATTCAGTGACTGGCGTGGTGGCAATGGCAGTGGCAGCCAGACAAGGAGCTGGATCTCTGACTAAAGGAACTGTGGTCCTACGAACATGGGGGAAATCCCTGTTGCATGTCCCTCCCCACTTTGCTCTCTCACTTTCTCTCTCTCACCCACATCAATTATCTGTCTATCTGTAGCCACCTATATATCTGTATCTCTATATTGTCTATATATCTACTACATCTGTTGTCTCTTGCCTTTTGGCACAGTAGAGTAGGAAAACAAAAACCCTGGCATTTTAACTAAAGGACTAATGTGAGAGCTGAGGGAGCAGAAAATTTGAGAAGGGAACCAGAACTGGGAAGTGGCAGGGAGGTCATGGAGAGCAGAGAGCCAAAGAAAGTGATCCCATAAGAACTCCTGTGTTCACCCGGAGCTGACCCTGCTTGGCATGCCAAGAGGTTTAGAACTGAGCTGCTCTCATCAAAACTAACACATACACTGAACATATCAGAATAGAACTGCAAGCCTCAAAAACTGACTGATGTTGTTCAGAGAAGACAAGTAAGAAATTGCAGCCTGAACCTAACCAGATTGATTGCCTGCTGAATCAAAAAGTCAACATTTTTGCAGGATTTTAACAAACTCATAACCCTGTAGCTTAATATTCAAAATGTCCAGGATGTAATAAAAAATTATTTGATGTTGAAGACCCAGGAAAATCTCAATATCTCTCAAGGGACAAGAGAAGAACAAAATCAAGAGACAACTCTGAAATAACTTTGAGGTGACACAGTTGGAATCAAGGCATTACAGCAATTATAATTACAATCATAGTCTAAGAGGTGAGGGTAAAGCCCCTTGAAATAAATAGAAAGAGCAACAATCCCATCAAAGAAATCGCATAAAGAACTAAATGAAGTTTTACAAAGAAAAAATAGAATATCAAAATGAAAGAATTCACTGGATGAACTCAGTAACTGATTGTAGATGATAGAGCCAGTAAGTATGAAGACTGTTCAATAAATGAATGCAAATTAATACAGAGAGATCAATATAAGTTGTCCAACATAACAACAGAAAGTAAATCAATTGGGGGAAAAAAGAATCCTCAAAATCTGTGGGACAATGTCAAAAGGTTTTTTAACGTATTAGTCATCAGAATCTCAGAGGGGAGAAAGAAGCTATAGTAGAGAAAAAAGAATGTTGAAGAAATATGGGCTAAAAATGTCTTAAATTTGGTAAAATACAAAAGGTTACAGATACAAGAAGCTCAGTGAATACCAGCTAAGATAAACTCAGGGAAATTCATGCCCAGACATATTGAAACTAAGGACAAAGAAAAAGATCTTGAAAATAGACAGAAGAAAACAGTATATTAAATATCGGGAACAACAATTTCAATGGCTGTGACCTTTCTCATCAGAAACCAGAGGCCAGAAGGCAGTTAAAACATTGCTTCAATGCTGAGCAGGAAAAAACAATAGCCTGTCTATCCAGAATTTTATATTCTGCAAAAATGTACCTTAAGAATGATATTGAGACAACAGGTAATCATCAAGAGACTTGTTCTAAAAGAAATGCTACTTTCAGGCAGAAGGAAACAATAAGATGTTAAAAGGAAGCCTGAGGTATTAGGGATGAAGCAACACAATAGAAATGGTAAATGTCTGGTTAAATATAATGGATTCTTTTAATTTCTTTAAAATATATGAGGGTTGAAAGTCAAAGTCACAGCATTGTCTGATGGAGTCAGTGTGTGCATATATGACATACCTGATAGTTACAACTCAATACAAGGGATGAAGGGACCGGTGTAGTCCCCCATGGATTCTACTTTCAACCTGAAGTGGCAAAATTGTCTGGTTAGGCTGAAAAGTTAACTATATGCATTGTAATTCTACAGCAGCTTCTAAACTAGTAATAAAAAACAGATGCAGTCAAAAGCTCTCATGATGAGTTAAAGTGGAATACCGAAAATATTCAAACCCACAAAAATGCAGGAAGGAGGAAATAAAGAAAAGAAAACACAGAAGAAACAAAAACCAATAAACAAATGACAGACCTAAATCCAAACATATCAACAATTACATTAAATGCAAATAGTCCAAGCATACCAATTAAAGGATGTCAGAATGGATTTTTAAAGAGAGGCAATTATAGGGTAGTCAAACACAAACACCAAAACCTGCACTGTAGATGGAGTGCTATAGGTAAGTTAAAGTGGGAAAATAGATACCATGCAAATACAGAGTGAGTTATCATATATGACACACATCAGTATAAACACTTGTACTTGCAGACATTTTTGGTGGAAATATCTATGTCTTAACCACTTTGAAAAATAGTTGCCATTATCTGCTAAAAAATACACATGATCCACAACTCTCCTCCTAAGGTATTCCCAATAGAAATGTATATATAGATGTGCCAGAAGATATATTCTAGAATGTTCCTAGCAGTGTTTTAGTTAGGAACCCAAACTGAAGGAACCTAAACGTTCTGTAACAGCAGAATGGATAATAGTGGCACATTCATGAACAGGATCCCCATGGCAGTGAGTGAAAGAGAGCAGCAGAGAGCCTCACTGGCACAGCACAGTGGCAGGACCAGGCATAATGGTGTCCACTCGAAATCAGGCCAAACCCGCCTTAGGGGGGAGGTATCTGGGGAGCAGGTATTTGGGGAGGCGGGTGGGAGAAGTGGGGGAAAGAAGGTTGCAACCTTCTATTTCTTGTTCCACATAGTGGTTGTTATGTTCTCTGGGTTTTGTACACCTCAACATACTATACCTTCATATAAAAAAAAATTTTTTTTGAAACTTTTTTTTTTCTTTACCAGAATGGAACTAGTAATAGGACAGGTGCTGGTCTTGCCATGGAAGAGTCAGAAGAGAGGTGATCTCAGCAATAAAATTAGACAAACCAGTACTTTATCAAGCATCTGCCAAAGGCCAGAGCTGCCCTAGATAGTCTCATATATATTGTCTCCTTTAACCCACCCAACTAACAAGTGAGAAGACCGAGGCAGCAATAACAGTGCGGACAGCTCCCGTGCTGCTTGGGTGAGTTTGGAATTAACTCTCATCCTCAGCCCTACGAGCTGGCCACCAGCAGGCCCTCTGCAGAGAAACCGGACCACCCTGTGGGCCTGGTGCCCCCTGCGACCTCACACCTGCACATGGTTTCAAGCGCGATGCACCCATAGCCCCAGACTGGAAGGTGGACTAAAAGGTGACCAGACTGGAAGGTGAGCAGCCGATGTGGAGTGTGTTATGTCTCTTCACAAATAATAAAACACTTCTCAGTTAAATGTAAATATTTAAAACATGCCCTTGTTTGGCCCCATCATCGTTTCCTAATATACTGGCTGCTTCAGAAGGCGAGAGTGGCTGTGACGCTGTCTCTGAGGGGCTCCTAGCTCTATCCTTACCTCCACTTCATAGATAGGGAATGAACCCGACACAGGGTGCTCTCCTTCTGCTGTGCCCACCACGCCGTGCCATCCTACAGCCCAGGAAAGTGACCCAGGGTTTACTTGCTATGTTTAAGAGAGGAGGCGGCAAGAGAGGGTAGGACTCACTTCCTCCCGCAGACCTGGGGGAAGGGCTCCAAGCTGGCTTGAGGTTTCTCTTGTGCCCTTTGCCTCTCCCTGCAAAGCCTTCGCTTTGGCTTCATGTGGTCAAACGCCCGCCCCTCAGTCTGGCTCTCCCCAGGCCAGGCAAAGGCCCTGCTGGCACTCCACACCCCCACAGGTCCTGGAAACACAGTGCCTTGCTAGTGAGCAGACACTGGCCTCTTGTACAGGACATCAACTTATCCCACCTCCCCTCGATACCAGGGTGTGGCTTCCTGCGTGGCTTGTGTGGGCAAGCATGAGGCCAGAGAGAAGGAAACCCAAACCCTGCAACCCAGGAAGCATCTGAAGTCCTTTCTGTGGCGTGGTTGATTTTAAGGTAGGGCGGGAAAGAGCTCAAATCTCCAGTGCTGTCTTTGGAGGAGTTGCTGTGAGCTGCTGCGCTAGGTCACAGCCACGGCCCAGACTTGGCCTGCAGGCAGGCAGGAAGGAGCGGTCTGGCCCCAAGCCCAGCTCCTCAGCACTGACTGGGAGTCCATGGGGGAGCTGGGGAAGGGCAGAGGGCTCACTGGAGTTTGGGACCACACGTGGCCAGCTGGCCCTTCTCCAGATTCTGCTGAGGGAATTTCTCACGAGAGGGGTCCTCCTCCATTTGCTATGTGAGGGAGAGAAGAGAAGGGTCGTGAAGAGGGGGTACAGAGAGAAGTGGCAAGTCCCAGGACAGGGACTGGAAGTGAGGGTGCCCTCTCTCTCTGATTTGAGTGGACAGTGACTCTCAGAGGTGGAAAGGGGTGGGCAGGCAGGAGGGACAGACAGATGTAAGTCCCGTTTTCAGTGACCATTTCTGTGACCTTGATTTGACCTGGGAGGTTCTAGGTCTCCTCATCTGGCAAAAGGGTGAAATAACCATTTGCAGAATTGTGGGAGCACCAGAATCTTCTGAAGATGTTGCGTGGCTCACAGTAGGGCTTCCATAAAAGCTCTCTGTTGGCTTTCACCTGTGCACTGGGTGGAGAGCAATGGCTGTAGCCGGCCTCCAGCAGCAACAAGCTGCAGGATTCAACAACTTGTTAGGAGAGAAAGTCTGGGAAGAAACTCCCTCTGGGTCTCCTTGGGAGCCTGGGCTGTGCCAGCGCCCCCTGAAGGCCCATCTGACACGCACGCACGCCACATTTCCCTGAGGATTCTTTGGCGGGAGTGAGTGGAAAGACCTGCTCGGCTGGAACATTTTTTTCCCCTCCCAGACGACGTCCGATGGGTGTGTCGGGCAGGAGGTGATATTTGAGGGCTGCGGGGCGGGCACGCGGCAGCTGAGCCGGAGCCGCGGGTGCCTGCAGTGGTGAGAGCATGGCAGCCCGGGACCCGCCGCCGGTCACCAGCCACGCCCCGCCCGAGGTGCCCTCCGGGGTCGCGCTCTTTCTCACCATCCCCTACGCCTTCATCTTGCCGGAGGTGGTAAGTGCCGGCCTGCTGGCCACCCGCAGAAAGGGAGGACTAGGAGTCGGTCTTGACCTGGAATGCACCCCTGGGAGAGGGGGCCAAGGCCAGAGCCGCTGGGACCCCCCACGCCCCTGTTGGGCTCAGAGCCAGGTTCGCCCTGATCCTCTCTGCACTCCTCTGGGCTCCCGCACTGTGGGGCAGGGGGTGGGGATATGAAACCTACCCTAGGTGACCTGCAGGCCACCTGGTGATGGGAGTGGTGAGGGAACGCAGCTACAAGGTCCTGGCGCCTCAGGAAGATGTTGGAAACGGATTTTCATTAATAGCGTTTGTTTTCTCCAGCTGCTTATTCGTGATTTTCTTAAGTTCCAAATAGGGACTCTGTCTTTCCTTCTGAGAAAGGGTCTGCTCTCATTTTCTTTCTTTTAAAAAAAAAGATTTATTTATTTATGCATCCAAGAACTGAGGTACAGACCAGAGGTACCGGGTGGGGGCGATGAGAGGATTCACCAGAGACAGAGTGGGGAGCAGAATAAACAGATTGGCTGCAGTACACTGCTGAGGGAGCAGCGGGCGGGACAGGAGAGGTCTGTCTGTGCCCTGTGGCTCACCTCCCTGGCCCAGGACTGAACTCCCGCTGCGGTGGCTGCCGGTAGCTTCACCCGGTAGCTTCACAGTGCTGTGCTTTAGCCTCTTGTACCACCAGGGAAAGCCCACTATCATTTTCTTGTCAGGTCAGTGGACTTTCAACTTGGATTTTATGTGGCCTTGTCTCCGGAGGTAGCTTACGACAGCTTCTGCCATAAAACAGGGTGAGCAGCCCTGGTTACACAGCAACCCTGTGCTGCTGCCTCATTCTTTGGGCCACCCTGTGGCCGACTCCCTGCTGGGCAGCTCCTGTGTTGCTCTCTGCAGAGCTGTGCATTGAAGAGAACTCGAGTTCTCTCAGAACCAACTGTCCTGTTCCAATAGTGAGGACACTGAAGTCTGGTGAGCCAATCAGGGCAAAGGAGGTTTGCAAACACCTTCTGAAACATCTGGCTTGTGGGTGACATTTTCTCACCATTTCTGAATTTGGGAGTGCTACTGCCTGCAGGCAAGTGGAATAGCTACAAAGTGGCCCCAACTTTCATTTGGACATGACTAACCCTCTCTGTCATCTGCTTGGGACTCTGGACTGACCGAGTGACGTTTTGGTGACTGGTTAAAGTGCACCCATTGGTGGTGATGGGAAGAGAAACCAGATGGGACAGGCCCAACACTGGGGTGACTACAACTGAAACCCCACCCAAGGGTTTCTGCCAGGCTTGCCCCACCCTTCTCCCCAGGGCACAAAAGTAGGCATCTGGCCAGACTGAGGACATCTGGTGCTCTTGCCAGTTCTGTGTTCAGGGGATGTAGGTGCCTCTTCTATCTCAGCTTGAGTGCATGGATTGCCAAGATCTCAGTGGACCCCTCCAGTCCTGCTTGCTGCCAGTCCTGTCCACCACTGATGACAGGACCTCTGCCTCCCCAGGCCCCTGTCTGACTTGAGGAGAGAGGCTGAAGAGCACTTCCTGTCACAGTCATACTTAAGGGGGTGACTGTGAAGGGCTGTGGCACCGGGAGTTGAGACCGTCTGGCTTCTTCTAATCGTGGAGGAGAGGAGGCCTGTCATTGAAGTGACTTCGGAGTTTCTCAGAGAGAGAAATCTAGAGGCTAAGAGAGACCCATGGACAGGAGGCTAGAGGGATGGAATTTTTGGAATTAGAAAAGGTCTAGGATTAGGATCCAAACCCATGATGCTGAGCCCCTGCACATGGAAGGGTGAAATGCATGCTTGTGTTAGACTCTGCGGTTCTAAGTATCCCAGGCAGTGAGATGTTGTCACTGGTTCCATTTTATTTACTTTTCTTTTCAATAATTTTAGATTTAAAGGAAAGCGGCAATGATAGTATAGAGAGTTCTCATTCTCTTTACTCAGCTTCCTTTCGTGTCCACATCTTAGAAACCAAGATTAAGATATTAACGTTGATGCCATCCTCTCAATTGTTCTATAAACTTTATTCAAGGTGTACTTATTTCCCCACTAATGCTTTTTCTCTGCTTCAGGATCCTGTCCAGGATCTGCATTGCATTTAGTTGTCATATCATCTTTATTTCCTTTAATCTTGGTTAGTAGCTCAGTTTTTGTCTTTGACACTTTTAAGAATAATGGTCAGTTATTTTGTACATTGTCCATTGACCTGGACTGATATTTCTTCATTACAACTTTATTTTTAATTCACAAGTAATCCTTATTCATTATTGAAAGCCTTGAAGATATAGAAATATAACCCATATATATGCATATATTTGTACATACACATACTTAGCTACTTAATGGCCTCTCTGCTCTCTACCTGTTTTGTCTAAGAATGTGGCTAATTTAGAATGTAGACTCATGAATATCTCTTATCTAGGGGAGGGGAGGTTAAGTGGGAGAGCAGAGGCGGTTATAGAGGTGGGTGATCCACTGAGCAGAAGACATGCTGGGCTGGAGGAGAATGCAGACTAGCTGCATTAGGGGCAACTTCCTGTGCTGGTCCCCTGGGTGCATTGCCCACTGCTGCCACTGGGTCTGACCACAGAGTGCCACGGCCATGAGTTCCAGCAGACTGTCAAGGGTATGGCATCATGGAGAGCCATAGGTTTTTGCAAGGACATGACTATAGACAGTGGATTCTAAGGCCAGGAGCTCGGGCCAGCAAGAAGGGCAGAGACATTGCGGTCTATAACCTGGGTCAGCTGGCACCCATGATGGGACTGGCCCAGAGCGGGCAGCAGTGGTGTCTGAGGCACACTTCCTGCCGGACTGTTTGCTACACCCCTGCTGTGAAAGCTAGCAAGCAGACCCAGCGCCAGGACCTGCCCCTGGAGACCAGGGGCTAAAGGTACAAGGTGAGCAGACTCCTGTGAGACCAGGCTTGTCCCTGGGTTTCCCTGAGGTCCTTTGTCACCCCGCAGGCTCAGGTCCTTCCACATCAATGATGCCAATGAATAAGATGGCACAGACTCCAGGCCACCTGCAGGTTCCCTACCGCTCTGCTCCTCACAGCCTGCTCCTATAGAGCGCTGCTTAGTTTTAGATTCTATAAGATTAAGAATTTTAACATGTCTTATTTTCTAGTAATTATGGATTCCTAGGCAGTTGCAAAGACAGTTCAGAGAAGTCTCCCAAACCCTCACCCAGCTTCCCCAGCCTGACTCATGATTTTCCTAGCTTCAGGACTAGCACAACCAGGGACTGACCGTGGTGGTTGACTCCACACTGCTCTTCTGTTACCTCACATGTGACCTCCACCACAACCAAGAAACCAAACTGTTTCTTCACCACAAATATTTCCCTCCTGTTTTCTAGTCTCCCAGTTCCGACCCTTCATCCCTCTCCCCTCCTGAGGCCCAGGCATTCACTAATTCCATGTCTATACTTTTGTTATTGAGAAAGTGACATAAATATTTGGAATCATACATTATGTGGTCTTTCAAAATTGACTTCTCTCTCTCGAGATAATGTCCTTGAAATCCAACCAAATTGCAGTCTGTGCCCATGGGTGATTCCTCCTTGTTGTGGGGTAGTATTGTATGGTATGGATGCACCATGGTTTGCTTAACCCGCCACCTATTGAGAAACATTTTGGCTATTTACAGTTTTTAGCTGTTCTAAATAAAGCTGCTGTGGCTGTTCATGCACGGGCTTTTGTGTGGATGTCATCTTGTTTCTCTGGCTTGTGTGAGCGTGTGGCTTGGCCTCTAGCATTAAGAAACAAACAAGCCGTTTTCCAGAGTGACTGTACTATTTTAGCATCCCAGCAGCAACTATTAAGACTTCTGAGGCTTTGGCATCAAAGTTCGTATTTTGTTCTGTTTGCTTTGAATTCAGTCTGCTGACTTGAAAGCAATATTAGATTCAAAACATAATACCTAACTCTGAATCAAGGTATTTTAAGGTGCCAACAGACATCGTTTACCCCTGGCTTCTCAGGGAGTGTGTGGTGCTGGGGTGGGGCCTGGGCGGCTGACTCAGTCTGCCTCTTGGGTGGCCCCAGGGGAGGTGGGGAAGGGCACCCCATGACTACCTGATTACCTGCTGGTGTGAGCTGAGGAATCAGCATTTTTATGAGCTGAAAGCTGACCCAGGTGACCATGAGTGGGGGAGAGCTTCATGAATAAGAGTCCAAGGAAGTCTTTTAACTTCCAGCGTTTTCACCAGTGAACTTATTAATTTGATATTTGCCTGATTAAAGGGAAACAGCTAAAAAGACTTCTAGAAAGTCAGCCAGTTAAAAGGTGAGACAATCTGAACCCTTTGTGTGGTGTTTGATGTTTTCAGCTTCTGAACTGGCCTGCACGGTGGTCAGGGGAGTCGCTGGCCGCCCTAGAACTCATGCCAAGGTCTGCCAAGGCAGCTCAACCTTAGGTCTTCCTTAGCTCCCCAGTTTCACCTTCATTTTGGCCACTGCCTTTACTCTCTATATGAAAAGCCTATTGGAAAATTTACTGGACCCCTACAGAGGTGCCCCTGGAGGGAGCTGTTCAGTGTGTGGACGGAAGCTCCTGGTGAGGCTTGGGGAGGAATCAGGGCTCATTTTTGGCCAGGCTTAGGGCAGGCACCCTCCCTTTTGTTATAATGTAGGCTTAGAAGTTGAATTTTCTAAAAGGGAAAATCCTTCCCCTTATTTTCCTCTGCTCCCCTCTCAAATCTCTGCAGTCCTGGGGAACAGCAAAAATTAATTTATCCAGTTTTATTCATCTATTTGCTTCTGTACTTTCATTCACTCCCTACCTCACCTCTGCTCCTGGAGGAAGTGGAAGCAAACAACCTCCACACCCATGGAACTACTCAACCCTCTGACTAATACCCAGGGATGCCCTCGAGAGGCAAGTGATAAGGAAAAGAGAAGAGGAGAAAGGGAAGGGAATTTACGAGGTGTGTGTGTGTGTGTGTGTGTGTGTGTTGGGAGTGGGCGGAGGCCCTGAGAGAAGAGCTGAGCTGG